GCTCCATCTCCCTCTTTCGAGAAATGTACTCCGTCGCCTAGCCATCGGACTTTTACATTGCCTCGGAGCTTCCGTAGTGTCCAGAAACACTGCCCCCTCCACGATACATAACTCCTTGAACCTGTCGTTAACCCCTTCCGACCTGGACCACGTGATTCCTCCCTCGTTTAGCCGGCTCCGGATCGCGCACCCTCCCCCCCCTCCCCCGCCCCCCCGACTTTGGCTCCCGACACGCCCTAATAACTTGCCTCAGCCTGCAGTTCATCACTAACCATGCATTCTGGTTTCATACTTTCTTACGCTGAAACGGCCCCCGAAGGTATGAATCTTACTTCCGGATCGGTACTAGTCTGAAAGCCGACTTCTGTCCCGGCGAATTCACCAGGGTCGATACCATTAGCACCAGCGCTTGCACTCGGTTTTATCAGAAAATGATCCATCTGCATTTGAATGTTAAACCAAAATAAGTGACTACAGCAAATCATGAATGAGGTGAACTTCGTAACACCCCCACCCCCCCACTCTAACCTCAGCGTCGAGAAAGCAGCGGGACTGCTAGAACTGAGGAGGAATTCACTGGAGAAAAAGGTTAAGGGCAAATGATTAAGAAATACATTTTATTGCTGAGTGCCCTTTCCTGGAATTGTTTGTTAAGCAAGCCTTCTAATTATCTGGCATAGTGAATTAGACCGTTCCAGGAAAGCCAAGTTCGTAATATTCCCCTGTATTCTGGTGGCAATATTCAACCTCGGTCTTCTCTGTCTCCGTATACTTCTACTTATAAATGATTTCGTTCAACTCTCTACCAGAGTACTTTTTTTTGGTAAAATCTGCTTTGGAGCATGTGCGATCTCGGGGAAAAGGAGCGACGTTGACAATGCAACGCTGGCTCAACGTTTTTCAACGTTGAACTGTGTTTCATGCCAAAATTGAATCCTCCTTTCGCACGCCGTTGTGCCGAATCACGCGGTCTAGATATACTTTCCGACCACGATCACCGTGAGTCGAATGCCCTCCAGGACCCCTATAACTGATCGAATTTTCATACCGAAATCGTAATTGAGAGCGACAATTGAGAAGGATCGGAGGTGGATGGTTGTGATGGCCCTTGCGTGATCGATTGACAAAACGACAGCTCTCATAAGAATATGGGGTGACAAGCGTGCCCAGGCATCGAAACCCATTGAAGGGAAGAAAGCCAACTGGATGTCAGATTTTTGGCTGTGAGAGCCAGAGGGGCCAGAGATGAGTGGATTCGTCGTCGCTTCTGGTTTATTCCATTATGAACCTCGTGATGAATATCGCGTGAGATATGCCATAGAGAAACCGTCCAAGTGAAAGGCACAGGGGATAATTGACAGTTTCGTCGGGAGCCATCTTCGACGACAGACGACAGGGAGGGCTATGACGTCAGTTATCATCTAAGTTATGATGAGCCAGTTATCAGATATTGGGTGCGATACTTGGACCCAGATCGAATCATGATGATCGGGTTACGATGATCGAAAAAGGATACTTAGAGCGGTTAAATGGGGTTTTTGATGAAAGGAAAATGAGCACGAGACCAATTCTACTTTCTTAGAGATTTTTTTTTTGCAGATTCAACCACTTATCCATTAAGTCAGCGGTTCTCAAATTAGGGTGGAAGCAAGCTGGTCCAAGGCTTTTTGTATTCTGATGTCTTTTTTACTTTCAAAGTCTTTGAAATTTCACCCAGCAATAATACTAGCTGAAATTTCAAAGACTGTGTCTTATTTTTTTTATTACTCGGAAATGCCCAACGTCTCTTCAGAGCCTTGCGCAGACGTTCAAGAAAAATCAGATTCGATCGAGATGGATCTGCACCTCTTCGGTACTTCGAAAATTCTCTTCAATCGTTATTTTATCGCTATTTTTTATTTGATCCCCAGCAAACAAAGGAACATTCAATCAGCGTTTTATGAACGTTAATTTTGAACCTTCCCACCGTTGTGGCGGCATTGCATCTAGCACCAAGTCGATATTTCAATGCCGCTTATCGCAATACTCAGATGAACGTTGAAGTTCAACAGTGGCTGAACGTTGGGCCAACATCGTAATGTCGCTTATTGAAACGCTCAACCCCACCCCAGTACTGGGTCATTAACGACAGCAAAGTAATATACGTATTGTACTAAATGTTTTATATTAATATATTCCAGGGGAGAGTCGACCCCAACGAATATCAGCAAGTTCAAGTCGACCTTTCCACCATCCCCCCCCCCCCCCAGGGGGACGGATTAAATGATCATTCTGCCCCATTAACCCTTTCCCTGGCGGATGTGGATGTCAATTTCAACATAGTCCTGGCAGGCCATTTCCCAACAAATGTTCCAAAAACGTATGCCTTTACATTTTATTTTACTGCAAGCAAACCAAAATATTGGTTAATAAATATCAAATTGAAAATTTCAACATACACAGAGGAGTAATTCTACTTTACATTGACACTTCACTTTGATTCCAAAGAAGCACGCATAAATTTTTATTTGCGCGATAAGTACTGAAGAATGGAATTTTCCACAACGATGCACAGTTGTGTGCAAAGTGCTGAAACTTAGTAAATATGCTGAAATCGTCTAAGCAACATCTGTTGCCATATCACGGAGTGTACAACATTTCCCGAGTAGACAAGTAGTCCTCAATTTCGGGGCGTTTATCAATGCCTGTTATGAAGACCAGTGTCGACATTTCATCTTCATCCACTTCTCTGTAATTTCTGTCTCCAGACGAGGGAGACAACTGATGGTTTCAAAGGTGCTGTCTGCCATACTAGTTCATCTCCGTCAGAATTAGTCCAACTAGTTCCACAGTCAAAAAAATGCTAAGCCACAAAAATGAAAAATAGACTTGTGGGATTGGTTCATCCCATTGTCACCTCTACTAATATTCCAAAATGTCTTGTCATGTCCATTGAGCACATGGTCCAGGCGCTGCTGCCACATCTGACTCGTCACTATCACTGTCACTTTCATCAATCATCTGCAATGGGCTACAAGGTTCTATGTCCTCATCACCAAAGATCTCAGGAATCCTATCAATGTTGTCGCTATCTCTATCTGCTGCTACTTCTCCGAAAATTTCGTACCTCACTAACCCTCTCCACAGACGCCATATTGGGGAGGGTGGCAAAAAGTTTCATTTTTTGTCCTCTGTTGTTGACTGAAAGTATCTATATTTTATATCTATCTGCCTGAGATCAAGATACACTATTTATTGATCTATTGCCAAATGCTATTGGTTAAGAACTTTTCCGCTAGATGGCTAGGGCATCCTGAATAGAGTCCTACACAAAAGCCAAAAGTACGTCCGTGGCAGGGAAAGTTTGAGCTACGCTGGACGTAAAAATACGTCCGTGGCAGAGAAAGTTTGGGTAACGATGGACATAGAGATAAGTCCGCGCCATAGAAAGAGTTCATGAGGAAACGAACGACAGAAAGCTTATACTTCGCCATTATAGCGAACTCCTCACGGAACTTCTATCTGCAAAAGGTTCTCATTAGGAATATGAGCGTGTTTATCGCCTGGACTCCATGATTCTGTCTCGTGCATGGGGATATTAAATGATAAGGTTTCCGATTTTATTCATTCCTATAATGAGGCTAGGAGAGACATATGGCGAGGTACTAAACAATCCAGTGAGAGATGATCCTATGGAAAGAGCGAAGTGCACTTTAGTACACTTTGCGAAAAGCGAGACCCATGCCGACATCTAGTGGCCCGGAGGAGAACTTCAACATTTCCACACAAAAAAACGCATACGTGCAACTTGGGCACATTGGATGATCGCGTCAGAACGATATTGGATCGATGATGGGATGGCAGTATTGGGAAGCTAATATTCAGCCGATATTGGCAATAATGGCAAGATGGCAACGTGCCCAATGTTGGTCCAGCATCGAGCCAATATCTGGTGGGGTGCAGGTCGAAGTTCGAGATCGCCTCAACTTTTCCTTGGCAAACGCAGACACGTTTCGGAGCTTCATTTGACTTTTCGCAGTTTTTGTCTTAACGTTCCGAGAATCCCTGATGAATGACGTCGGAGCGGAAGCATTCCGTTGACGTTAGTCACACTGAATAGGTTCTTGATCGTTTCTTGGGAAAAAAAAAAGGTATCCCCTATTGGATTGGCTCCATGATGTTACCAGAAATATTATTCAAAAATGCAATTTAAGGTTATATAACGCCGGGTCGTTACCGACTGAACAAATATGGTGCCAAGACCCGGACTTTCAACTGTTGCAATAATTTCTTCTTTTTTCCCTCAACTATTGTGGAAAGAAAACAAAAAAAGTTTGAGATCCGCTTCTTTAGGCCCTTCGATCAAATAAACTTTGCCGATCTCATTAACACCGAGGCAGACTCCATGACAGAAAGAGAAACTCTCACCTTTGGGCGTGGGGCAGAGAACTAGCCGCACACGGAAAAAGCCCCCAGATGAAATCTTGACGGCCCCATGCGCCATCTACATTAGACGAGTGGAAGTAGAGATTCCTTTTCCCGCGCGACAGGTAGAAACAGTGGAATGTGCTCTCCCTTAAGATGCACTGCGAATCTGTTTCGTGACGCGCATGCTCTGCAGCTAAAAACCGGTTCAATTCAAAGTTTTCGAGGGATGAAAGCGGTCCGCAAGGCATCCGATGGCCTTGGGACGGCCACAGACGCAGAGAAAGAGAGAGAACTCAAGGCTCCGCGGTCTTTCCAAGTCGTCCCGCAGCCCTCTAAAAGGACCGAACCGCGCAGAGGGGAGATGGGCCAATGGGAGGGGAGCAAAGCGGATGACGTCACAAAGCCACGCGTCCTTCAAAATCGCCTTTCTCTCCCAGTAACGAGAATTATGCGTTGCGTATCCATGCTTTTTCGCCCGAAAATCGCTTCGAGAGCGAATGAGCTCGTCTAGGCCCAAATGGGAAGTTCCCTCTCTTCAGGTGGGATTGATTGCGAATGGGGAGGAGAATCGACGGATGAGGGTCGCGCTCGCCATGTTGGGTGACGTAGTTGTATCGAAAAATATGGCGTGTCTACGGCGTTGTTCGGAGATGGTTCCCCCGTTGGAAGAGGTCGCATCGTAGGCACGAACCTCTCGGACTTGTGAAAACAGCATGGCTACACTGGTGACTGGGAAAACCACGTGCTTCATCGTGACGAGCCCGCTAATCGGCGTCTGATCGCATCTGGTGATTTGGCGGGCGTCAGTTAGGCCCAGGTGGGCCTAGTCTACCCACCTGTTCATGGAAGGCCCGGAATCGGGATTAGAAAACCCGAAGATGGTGAAACTAGTCAGGGAGGGAAATTCGAGTCCTGGTACCTTGTCCTCGAGATCCAGCACGCCCACTCGGAAATCCGTGGCGAGAAAAGAAAAACTTCGTCAGACCACACGTACCAAGTCTGCTCAGTCTGGTCGGGGATACAACAAGGAAGTTGCAGCTGAGGACTCAGACTATTTGTTTGGGTCGGATTTTGAGGATGTGGGGTCGGACAATGCGGGGGAGAACGAGAGCAATACGAGTTACCATTCAGACCTCTCAGTCAGCGATGCAGAGAGCGAATGTGATATGGACATTGACGGCAGCTTTGCCGCACAGACCCGAGACGACATCAGTGACGGTGAGTCTTCGGATTCGAGCAGTGTTGGTGGTCCCCAGAGGGGCCCATACCAGTCCCAAAGGCCTGCGTCGCCCGTGCCGGTGTGGCTGCGGGAGGACAAGGACGTTTCTGTGCTGGAACTCCCGAAGTCCTCGGAGGACCTCCTCGTGCCCCGTGAATTTGTCATGCAGACGCTCTGCGTCTACGAAGCTCTGATGCACTTCAGGACATTGTGCCGCATCTCTCCGTTCCGGATCGAGGACTTCTGTGCCGCCCTCGAGTACCCCAGTGATAATTCCCTGTTGAGAGAGGTGCACATCTCCTTGTTGAAGGCATTGCTTCGTGAGGAAGAAGCACAACATGTGCATTTTGGAGCTGTGGACCAGAGAGACAGTATCAATGCTGACATTTATTTCATGGACAGCTTGACATGGCCTGCTGTTTTGAAAGGGTACATGGAGAGTGATAAAAAGTTCAAGGAGGTCTGTGATCTCCTGAAGCCAGATTACCCCAGTGCACCATTGGAAGTGAGGCTCCAAGTGCTCCAGTTTCTGGTCAATGAATTCATGATCACTGGACAGGCCAGGGAGTTCCTTCAAAATGAGGGCACTTACATCCACGAAGACCACTGCCGCGTGTGTCATCGGTTGGGAGATCTCCTCTGTTGTGAAACTTGCTCAGGGGTGTATCATCTTCAGTGCATGGATCCTCCTTTGGAGGATGTTCCAGATGAAGATTGGCAATGCCAGATATGCAAGGCTCATCTGGTCAGTTATCTTCCCTAATATTATTTTAATTCTGCCTTTAGGCCTATTGGTTGAGCATGGTTTTCTAAATAAATTTATTGCCAGGTGCCTGGTGTTAAGGAATGCATTCCAGACTTTGAAAGGGTTTTGACTCGCAAGGAAGCCTTGGGATACGACCGCCACGGTCGTAAGTACTGGTTCCTCTGTCGGCGTTTGCTGATGTGAGTTGATTGGTTCTCTCCATGAACCTGTACTATGTGCAGTGTAGAACTGTTTTGGAAAATTTCTTTTCTACAGTGAGACTGAAGATGGAGAAGTTTGGTACTACAGTACTGAGGCACAATTCAATGAAGTTCTCTCTAGACTTGACCCACAGGAGTATGAGCATGGCCTCTTTCAGGAAATGGATGCTCTTAGGGAAAGAGCTGGTGAGCAAATGCTCTTGACCTATGAACTCACAGAGAAGCACAAGCCAAGTGGGGTGAAAGTGACTGCTCTGCAGATGGATATTGGTAAGCATGGCAATGTGGCATATGCCTTGGTGTGCTCTGTTGCATGCAAATGCAAATGGGTGTTGATCTATCCCTGGTTGTCTATCTGGCAGATGACGTGAATCAAGTCCGACAAGACTCTGCTGATGGAGAGGGGCATAAAGACAGTGATGATATGCAAGGGAGAGGGATTGATTTTCCAGATGAATCATCTCTACCTACCCAAAAGGAGGAAGTTGTCATAGAAGAATCCATTGGAATGGTAGTTCACATTGATTGATGATCCTTGCTACAATGCTTCCTTTACACAAAGGTAGGGAGTGACATTTATTATGAATTCATTTTCCAGGAAGTACCACAGGTGATATCTCAGGAAACATTAGGGAATGCTGATTCACGAGCCAATACTGACAAAAAGGCAGCTGAATCTGATACCTCCAATACTCCAGGTGAAGCCATCAGCTCCATTTTCCATTACCGTTTTCCTAATTTGCAAATATCTAAACTTATATTTCTCTGCTGCAGGAGGAATCGTGACCAGATCAAAGACAGGATCCCTGCAGCCCATGCGATACTCCCTTAATGATCTGAATTTGAGGACTTATAGTCGCTCCCATGCTGAGGGAAATCAGCACTCATTCAAATTCTCAGGTAAATTTCAAGTGCATGGGTTGAAAAAGCCCTGTTTGAAAAAATTATTGCCACTTAACTGAGTACATTCAGTGCTGATATGGGTTATGAAGTCAAGGTTCAAGGACTGGGTAGAGGTTTTCTACAGAAATTTTTGCCCAGGAGGATGTCAGTCTGGTGAAATATGGCTCTTGTCTAAGAAATACCCAGAGGATTTACTTATACCTTCAGTTAAGAATGTCCTCGATTGCTTCTCAATTTTCTAATAATTTCTCTACTGTGCTAATGCTGAAGCAATTATAAATGATGATTTTTAGTGCAGAGAATTCGCATTACCAATACCATGGGAGGCTCTGAAAACTTTCAGTTATGATCAATGTGTGTTGTGTCTTGATATTTGTGTCACAAGTATGTTTTGTAATTGGGGGAGGACTGGGAGTAATAAGGAAGAGAATATGTTATGATTGTTGCATTCTCTTGCAAATCCATGCATGAATGTGACTCCGTTTGATCTCTGTCCATTAGGTGCATACAAGCTGGGCATGGAAGGGAATTTCAAGAAGTATGAAAATCAGTACTCCACAAATCCCTTGGCTCTGAGTAAGCCACAGCACCAGGAGGAGAGAGAGAAGCGGCGTCACCTGTCTCACAAATTTTCCATGGCCCAGGCTGGAGATTTCAAGTGGCCTTCTGCACATAATGGTCAGTACCTTCCCCTTGTTCCCCCCTATCTTTCCATCCTACAAACTGGGAAACATTGCCACATGGTGTGCCTGCAGTTGGAGACGAGATGGAACTTGTTCTGAGCATTCGGCAAGCGTTGATAAACCTGCAGACAAACATTCCAGCATCGTTTCTTCATCACAACTGGTATGCTATCTCCAATCAGTGGTTGAGTCTTGTACGTACGTGCAACGATTCGAGGGGCTTTGCCAAGGCACTCACCATCCTTGCTCAGTGCATTAGGCCCATTGCATACACAGGGATTTGGAATGAAGGCATGGGGCACACTAGGTGAGGAAGCATATTTTGTCGTCTTTAAATCCTGTGTGAACATTTTCATGGGAAAATGTTCATGATTGTCCTTTTTTTTTTCCAGATGGCATAGACTCACAGCAGGTGCAAGAGAGTTTCGGAAGAAGCAGGAAAAGAGGGAACAAAAGGAGAGGGAGCTGGAAGAGGAGAGGTGTCGATATACGGGAATCTTTGTCAAGTATACACTGGGACTCAAGCACCAGGTTTGACCAGGACCGATTTGAATGTCATTGATTTGTTGGATGATTGAGCTCTGTTGTAAGCTAGTGTGGTCTTGCTTGTCTGATAGGTGTTCAAGCAGAAGGGAGAGGAGTACCGAGTCCATGGGCAATGGGGTTGGCAGTGGATGTCTGCCACATGGACCCATCGACCCAAGAACTGTCACGAACTGGGTCTCCGAGCTGGCCCTCAGCGATATGTTGTTGAAGTCAAAAGTATGAGTCTTTGAGCTGGTTGCTCCTATTCAGTTGTATCTGAGTCTTATTGGGTACTTCTATCTTGTTCAGCACAAGACAAGATCTCCTTGCTGCCTGTTGATCCCAGCTGCTACCAGTTGCTACTGAATCGCAAGATGGAAGAGAAGATCACAGCACCAAGGTCATCTGCTTCATCTGAGATGCCAAAGCGTGAGGAGGAGGAAGATGAAGGAGTAGCCCTTGACATGGAAGAAGATTTTTCATCCTCCAAAACTACACTCCATCCTGGTATAATTGATATCATTTTCCTGAAATGTCTTAAATTTGTGTAAGTGCATGAGAAACCCTTTCATATGGTTGATAGTGCCTGAAATAAATTGTAGCAATTTTAAAAAGAATAAGATATTTCTCTGTGGTACCCTAGTGTGCCCTGAGAACAATGCTTTTGTATTCAAGGACTCAGGCCTTGGCTGCTAGGGACCTAAAAATTTTAAATGCCAGAAACTGACAACCCTATAAATGTGGTTAACACTGCAGAGCTTTGGAACATTACCAATTTTTATTGCAGCACTGGAAATAGTTCTCCATTTGTTGAAAATGATTTCAGCAGTTGATCATTCCTCCCAACCAATCATGTTGAAGGTTTCTTCATTTGCTTTCCCTTTAGAGCATCCTTCATGGGCTCTTATCTGAGTGGTGCTTCCCTTGCAGATGTGTCTCAGCAGCCAGACACGCTGTTCCCTGACATTGGGAATCCTGATCTGATAGATGTTTCTGAAGGTCTGGCTGCATCGGGAGCAAGGCGGGTCTATCCTAAACTGGCTGCGAGGTCAAAGGTCCTGGATTCGTTCCTATCCCGACGGCTTTCCATGGCCAAGCTGGAAGACGCTGTTATGGCAAAACATGAAGGAATCATTGATGCCTCACAGCTGAAAACAGAAGTACATAAGGAAGACAAAGATGGACCTGCCTTGAAGACTGAAGAATCTGAGGACCGGATCGTCCTGTACACAACAGATCCACTCATGGCAGAGATCTTTGCCCTGTACGACACACAGCCATACGAGTGTGCACGACGGATGATCGAGGTCGGGAAAGCGTACGATTCAATGAACAATCTGACCAAGTTGTACCCTTGCTATTCCCCATCGTGCAATGCAGACGAAGGGAAAGTCTGCTATTCGACCTATTGCCGGCGGAGGAAGGAACTTGCCGGAAGGTATCTGGAGATGCGAAAAATCTTTCAACTGGTGAAGGACAAGAAGATGCGGCAGGTGGTTCTGGATTCCACTGGGGCAGGAAAGCAGCCACCTCTTCCTTCTCCAAAGGCAGAGTCAGTGCCAACACTGAATGAAGAGAATCGCATTGACACAACTCCCTCCACAAAGGGAAAGGTGTATTTGAAGAAGGTTGAAGCCAGTGACATGGGTGGGAAGAAACCACTGGTCAAATACCCACTCACGTCTTCATTCCGTACTCGAGGAAGCAAGAAGTATTCCATTATGATCTTACCTCAGTATGAGCTGAGGAAGTTGGCTCGTCGTGGTGGCAAAGAACAAGTTACTGGATTCAATTATAATGCCAAGGCAAGTTTGAAGCTTCATTTTGTAATACCTTTACATTCCTGAGAACATTGAATGTAATCATAATTTTGAATGATGTGACACTAGGTGATTCAGGCCGTGTGGCCATACCCATGCCCTCGCCCTATCTTCAAGACGTGCTGGCTATATCGACTTGCTGTGACTAAGAGTCTTCATGAAGCATCTCTCCTTGCTAGGATCCTTTGGGCTTCCCTCAAGTGGGATGACATGCAGGTCTGCTCTCTGTCTCAATTTTCTTCACTGTATTTCAACAGTTTAAGTTGGATGATTGGTGGATTAATCAATGAATACATTAATTACAGACCGAAAATTTAACATAACTAGGTTCCATTTGGGTCTCAAGTCTTGCATCATGTAGGTCTTGTGTATGGATAAACAGAGTGATTAATTTATTTTTAATGCTGCTGCTTGAACTAATATGTGATAACCTGAGCATGAAGTTTTTACAATGGAGCCAATAGATTGCTGTACCACATTGATGTGGCTGAATCACTTCATTTCAAAAAATGGTACCTGCAAACCACTTGATGCATATGAGGCCCATTTCATAATGTAGTGGTGTTTCATGAACATTGAAAAAGTAAAATTCTCATATTGAGTCGCACTTGGAAGTAGTGGCATTATTTGTTCATTTAAATGAGAAAACTCTGCATCCTGATTAATGTGACCCTCAAGGTACCTCAGGTGTCATTGTGAATGCCTGCATTCTTCCTTGAGTTTGCCATGATAGAAAAGTTTATCCTTTTCTGTGTCTGCATAAAAATCTAGGGCCCAACTGAAACTTAATAAATTCCATGAACAAGTAGCAATTAATCAGCCTAATATACTTAATTTTCCAAAAATGACCTGATGACTGGCAATATGTCATTTGGCTTAAATTCTGAATCTATTCTTTTAGATGCGGCTTCCCTCATTGGACACAAAGCATCAGGTGACAACTGACACAGAGATTGTCACCACTGAGGTCCTGGACAAGAAGATGGAAGGCCGTTTTGAGGAGGACTACAAATATCTCGTTCGTCGTGTTGTCATCCCCCTTGACCTTCCTAAAACTGTCAGAGGTAATAATTTTTTCTTTCAGTTTTCATTGTGTCAATAATTTCAAAGAAATGGATGTTAGACATTTGTCAGATGTGTCCAATGTAACACGCTTGTTGCAAGGTGAATCAATATTTAATGATGCCCATATGCTAGAAGTCCTTTAAGTCAACATAGTCAATGCTAGCTATTCAAGCAAGAGAGATTTGGCTCCTTTGGGCAATGGACTGTGAAAAAGGAGCAGTAAAGATGTTAGTCTTTTCAGTAGAAATGAAATGGTTTTAATGGCAAAATTAAGAAAATTTTGAGAGCCATTATTTCCCATTATCAGGATTTTTAGTTTTTTACATTTTTTTACATATTCTTATAGCCAACGTTACTCTTTCATATTCTGCCTGTTCCCCTGTTGGCATTAATGACAGGTGCACAGAGAGATGAAATTAAAAAAGCTGGAATTGGCCAAAGTCCTTTGCAGGATTTGCCAAAAATTCATTTGTAATGTAGCATATTACCCTGGTTTAAATTTTAAAACATATTTTGATTGCCTTGGTTGTGCTGGCATTGTTGCTGATTTTGACTTACCTTTTTTATTTGCAGAAGTTGCACCATCCCGCAGTGGACTGCGGAAACGTAAAAGAGCAGAGTCTCCCTTGACGGCAGAACCTCGGGTGGTCGAAGAATGGGTCGGTGAGGATCACTTGGAGCTTTGGCAGATCAAGCAGTTCCATGCCAGGTTGGTATCTGCTTCATCTTCATCCCAACTGGAAGTACAGTTAATTATCAGTGATCTATACCCTATATCTTTTTTAGGAAGGAGAGGTCCACACCCACACCTGTCCTGAAGGGGAAAGAGGTAAAGGACAACAACGGGAAAGGAATGCCTGACCTCAGCAATGCCCGTCTCTCCATCTCTCGCTCTGTGGAAGACTTGAAGGAGAAGCTGGAGGAGCAGCTGAAGCTTCAACGTGCTGCACAAAAACAGAGGATCATCCTCAGTGACAAGGGTGCCTTCTCCTCGCCACAGCTCTTTGAACATGGTACAGTCAGGTTTTGGCATCCACTTGTGATACTTCATTCCACTTGTGATTGTGGCTTTGGTTCATGAAGAGGTTGCAATCTTTGTTATGTTGACAGTGACAACAGTCAGCACGGACGGACGCAAGTACACGAGGATTTCCATCCCGAGGAATCTGATGACTGGCAAGACCCTCTTAAATGATGGAAAAGTTCAAATGAGTGAGTTATAGTGCAAGTAAATGTGATTAAATATTGAGGTGTGAATGGATCCTTTTATGGTTGTACTGGATTTCATGCAGTCCAAGGAGCAGACGGGAAGGTGGTTGCTCACATTGCAAGCCCAGCTGCTTCTCAAATCGCTCCCAGTCAGATCATTCAGATTGGAGACAAGCGCATCCTCCTCACTCCTGGAGCAACTGCCCTAGGCAAAAATGCCCTGGCTGGTCTTGCTAATTTGGCAGTTGCCAAAGGAGGCTACGTTGTTGGAACCCAGCAGATGAAATCTGCTGTAAGTAATATGGGTTATACTCTTCAAATTGTGTGCAATTCTTGTAGTGACAATTTTATCATGAATGAAATGTTTTCAGGTGGCAGTGAGTCAGACCCCACCTGTAACACCAAATAAGATAGAGGTCACTCGCATGGCTGATGGGTCCCTGCAGGTCAGAGGACTTCAGCCTGGTGAGTTGGAGACATTCTTCCTTGCCCTTTTTGCCCTCTGCCATTTTGATTGGGATTTCATGGCTACTACTACTTTATGTTGCACTTCAGGTCAGCAGCTAGTGGAATTACCAGATGGGAAGTTCCAGTTAGTGACAACAACCACTACCACAACTCCATCCTTGGCATCAAAAGGAAGGAAACTAGTCCCCCAGATCACATCTGTTCAAGGTGGTGTGGGGTTCATGGCCACCCAAACCAAGACCGCTGACACCCAGCCACCTCCTGCCCAGTCCACTAATTCTTCTGTACTGGTCAGTCATCTCAGTTTCCTTTGTCCAAGGATTCAGGTTGTATGCCCTGTCTCATTATCCCACATTGAATATATTTCCAGCCATCAGCAACTGTGATCAACACTGACAGTGGGCCCAGAGTCATCCTGCAGGGGACAAACATGAACAGCTTGACTCCTCAGCAGACTGCCACACTTCAGACCTATCTTCAGAAGGCCATTCAGACTGGTATGTTATCAGACTTTTTAGAACTTTTCATCCACCCAAGTGTCCTCGTTTCACATTTCTTTTACTTCTTTTTGCTTTATTCAGCTCAAGCTACTAATCAGCCAGTGCAAATTCCACTGAGCAATAGAAGCCAAGAGCAGGCACCTGTGCAGCAGCAGCCGCAGCAGAGCCTTCTGGTTTCCTCATCTCCCAAGGTATTATAGTGGTTGACTTACTCTCCTTGCTTTAACAACTGATATGTATCTAATAGAACCTGCTTTTGTTTTATTACAGGTAAGGGCATCAACAGGGATGATGGAGGAGCAGTCTAGCATGGGAGAATTTTCTGATGACAGTTTTGGAACTGTCAGGAGTCCAAGTCAAAAATCCAAATCCAAGTTTGTTGTCACCCCCAGCTTCCTAAAGCAGAGTAAGACTTCATTTTGTTTTGTCTTCTTTTGCTTCATGTACCTTTTTTAATGTCAAAGCATGTCATGGGATTTGCAGCTATCCAAACGGCTCTGAAGAGTGGAAACCTGAGCAAGGAGGTGGAAATGAGGCTTGAAGAGTTCCAGAAGCTTCATGAGAGGGGGAAAATGGATGCAGGGTTGTCCCTGGATCTGGATTATGCCTTGCCTAGCTCTCCCATGGGGGTGGATACCTTTCCTGGCAGGGGTGGTTCTTCAAAGAAAAAGGGGACTTCAGGACAGAGTTCCTCCCGCTCTGCAGATTCTGATAGGGCTGTGCCAAAAAGTCGATCCAGAAAAGACAATAGGTGTGTTTTCCTTTGGTTTCTTGGTATGACAATTGTATGCTTGTGTTATGGTGTTCCTTTATCTGAGTTCAAGGGACTAGGTGTTCTACATTGATGATTATCAAAATCATTAAAAACTAGACTTTTAAAATTTCCCAGGCATATAGGGAATTTATGGGGCATAACGGGGTCATTCCTTTTTAACTAGCATTACAGAGGTTATTAGTGGGTGGGTTCAACTGCTGATTGGAATTGAACTTGCATTTGTGCACAAGCCACTGGTCTGTGAAACTGACTCAAAAGAGTTTCACATGTATATTCATGCTAGTGTATCAGAGAGGCCTGTGCTCCATCAGGTACCAAAGGCACTTGGTTGCAAAGCCAAAGTTCAGAGACTCAGCTGTTAAAGCATCTGGTGTATCAACTAGTGGGAATTTTTTACCCTCGTCACTTACCGAAAGCACGTTCTCACTTCTAGCCGTAGCCGTAGCCGAGTGTCAGAAACACCGATGTCTTCATCATCACCCCTTGCATTTGAAGAGCCCCGAAAAACCAAGGAGGAGCTTCTGCTCCACAAGCACACCCAATTTCTTAGGCGGGAAATGATCAAAAAACGTACTCATCTGGAGAAAGTCATGGAAATTGATCTTCAGGTGAAGACATTTTAAAAAATAAATTCAACTACTGTCTGATTTTCATGTGGTCCTAATATAACGGTTTGTTCTCAAATGGATATAGCGGGAGAAGCTTGAGAATGATGCTGAGACGAGTTTGAGGTACGAATCACCGTCCCCACCTCCGCAGCCACCTCCAAAGCGACGGAGACGCAGCAGCGGCAGTGAAGCAGATCTCAGCCCCCCTAGGATGAAGTCATCTAAGAAATCTCCCCATGTAAGAACGTCATCGTCGCCATCGGGCTCTGCCTCTGGAAGCAAGAAGCGGAAGCTTGCCACTGGTTCGACGGTGGTCTTGGCTCCACCACTGAAGAAGGATAGGGAAAAGCTTCCTACATGCCAGAAGCTTCTTCCTGGCCAGAAGCTTCTCACTGGTCCTCCAATGAACAAAAAGAACGCCAACAAGATCTACTGCATCTGCCGCACTCCCTATGATCCATCCAAGTCAGTTTTGGCTTCTCATTCAGGTGGGAAGGTGTCCCTGTGAAACTGGATTTCATAGTGAATGATCTTACTTTTGCAGGTTCTATGTGGGTTGTGATGTATGTTCAAACTGGTTCCATGGGCTGTGTGTGGGAGTGACAGAAAAGGCATCTCGCAATATGACAGAATTTCTCTGTCCTGAATGTCGCCATGCCAAGGAGACGGCTGAGCTCTATTGCCTCTGTCGGGAACCTTACGACGAGAGCAAGTACGTTTCTTCCTTGTGGTGGTTCCCTTTCTCTTCAGTTATGGCTCATCACAGGATGAGTCTAATTTTCAGCATGCCCCTCACAAACTGAGAATTTATCTTGTCATGCTTTCAATGGAAGCTTGATATAGCAATAGAACTCCTAACCATGTGCCATCATCCATTAGATTCTACATTTGCTGCGATGAGTGTTCTGATTGGTTCCACGGCGGGTGTGTTGGGGTGCTCCCAATCGAGGGTGACACGATCGACCAGTACTACTGTCCCACGTGCCAGCCCAATAGTTCCCGGAATCGTGCCAACATGTCTCCGCTCACACCTGCTGGCTATGAAGCGCTCAAGAGTGTCTTCTACATCATTAAGGTTTCTTATCATTACTGTCTTCTCCGACTTGTAATTTGTGAAATGTAGTGAAATGTGCAATGGTTTGGATTTTCTTCCTACCATAGAGTCATAAGCACGCTTGGCCATTCCTGGAACCTGTTGATCCCCAGGAGGTCCCCAATTATTATCATGTGGTCAAGGATCCCATGGGTGAGTTTTCTGTTCTTATCTTAAGAGTTCAGTGCATGTGGTCAATTAGTCCCATTAGTGACCGTTTGATTTTGGCATGCAGACATGAAGACTGTGGAGTCTCGACTCCAAGCGAAAGAATACGTGAACCTCAAGGAGTTCCTCGGTGACATGATCAAGATCTTCAACAACTGCAGACTGTTCCATCCGCCGGAATCGGCACTGTCGCAGTGTGCTAACACATTGGAGTCCTTCCTTGCAGCCAAGCTGAAGGCCTTGCGGCCGAAATTGGCAGCCGAAAGCATTCAGCAGGGCCCACCATTGATCGCCTCTGGTCGAAAATGAATCGTGGAGTCTCCCCTTTCTTTACAGTACAATTCCTCACTTAGCTATGTTGTAGATTTGTTTCCTCCTTATGTTGTTCAGTGTGCCTTTTCCTATCCCATCATGGAATTCCGTTTTGCAGGCAAGACAGTATGGACTTGCTGATTTTCTCTTGCTCCTCTTTTTTCTCGCCTGTTTTCCTGTATTATGGTACGAGGAAAGTGTTTTCTATATTTTACAAAGCCTGTCTCTGCACGTGAATTCTGAAAAAAAAATCATAATGGAAACAAAGGAAAATGTACCTGGATGAATACCAATATATGTGTTTCATTCCATGATTTTCCATGCAGTAAATTGTATGGTATTATGCAGAGACTAAAGGGAAATAATGATCTGAGAAGGAAATTAACTAATTAAATGGCCACCACTGACCCCAATATGGTAGTGATGCAGGATCTTCCCTCTATCTGATACAGATTATGCCAATCTCTAAAGATCACTGCACTCTAAAGAAATGGGACTCATATGCAGGGCTAAAATTCACGAATCAACCATTTTTCATCATCTAGGACTACTTACTTGTCCTGTCATTTGATTGCTTCCTCACAGAATTGAAGAATTTTAATGTTTCGTAAGTCAGGGATGAAGATACCCAAAGAACAAACCTCATTTTAATCAATTACCTACCGGGTCAGCAAAGAAGTTATTCTGCAACTTGCCTTCCAGCCATTCAAACTGTTTTCCTCTCGTTCGGTTGCGAGTTTCAGGAATTGCGTTTTTCATTCCCTTAACCCTAAAACTGCTGGGTTTGCTTGGCCTGATTACTATCACATGTTTTGTGAAATTACTATCGGACTTTACGATATCACGGCACAAACGGGTGAATTTTCGTGTCAGGTTCCACAGAACCCAAGAAAGTACTTTATAATGATGTTAATTGTCTGGGTGAGGTCCTCGTTAGCATTCTCTCGAGCGAGTCCCAGCGTTTCTCAATGCTTCTCTTTAATATATTTTTTAAAATGGTTTTCGTGGCTCACCTCTGAACTCTCGAGCGCCGTTGGATCGCATTTATTTGGATTCATTTTACTTATTTAAAATTGCACGCAATGCTTTAAATGGAGCCTAACCAGAGCAGCATGCACGAGAAGAAAATGACATTGACAGCCCTTATTGACATTGGAATCCCGTATTGCGCCTAAGGTTCAATTACACTTGGCCACTGTATCGCGTGCGAGGAGAGCTGGAATTTATCATGAAATTCGTGGGATATTCTAGCTGTTCGTCTGTGGACCTTGCATTTACAATTATTCAACTTGAGCCCTCTTTTTTTTCGCACTATTCGTTCAAAAGCTGTAAAGCCATCGGCTTTCGCCCTGTTCCCCCACCCATTTTCGTATCGTCTGCGAATTTGCTGATTTTACTCGCGAGGTCTTCATGTAAATCGTTGACGTAACCTATGAATAGGTCGTAAATGCCGACACTTAGTTCATAATTTACACATCCTGTGCGACTGCCCGACTTGGCGCGCAATTTCTTGCGAAGGACAGTATCGAAAGCCTCGGCAAAACGTAGGTGAACGATGTCCACGAGATTCTTTCCGTCCGTCTCGCCTAATCGTAATGACGAAACTGCAAAATCGATTTTGCAATTTCGCCAAATTGAGTCAGGCTGCAATTCCCACGACGTCCGCTAATTTCCTGGCTCTTTCACCCCGGAATCCCATGGTTCACGCCCGTGAAAGGCCTCCAAACGACTGACGAACAGCGAGACGCTCCTCGCATCCCGCTCGCCTGCGCGCATATTCGATTTCCCGTTTCCGCTTCCGGCGTTTCATTGACCGAACTTGACATGGAAGTCTGAGCGATGTCTTCGGCTTCTTAGATGTGCAAATCTCCGCGAATTTTCCAGTTGACTAAAATCCTTTTTCCTAGTCATACGAATTCTTCGTCGGCCTTTTGGCGCGTTTCGACCGTTTTTAGTCTCTGGAGTCATCTTTAGTCATCAAGCGCCAGATCGTCTTCCGTGGAGAAAACTAAATCTAATAAAGCGGCATTTCTCGTCGGTTCTTCAACATGCTGCAAAAAGAGAGCATGACAGAGGTTCAGTTCTGTCTCAGTCGATCCAATCCAGCAAAAAGAGTGTAAGGAGATCTTGTAGCACTGCAGATGGAACCGACAAAAATTATTTCTTTGCATCACACTTTACTGGCCTTCAGCATAAAAAGTGCATGCACCGCACAGAAAACACAAAGTTTGCTTCTCGCATCACTGAGATCAAAACCGGTACAGAAGCAGAGTGCAAAGACACAGGGCAATGCATGGTGCAATGACAAAATGGGAATAGGATATATAGTCCTGTAATCCTATCACAGTTTTAGCTAAGGGAGTCTGTCGTGACTGGGCATCCAGAAATGTCTGGCGTTGCTCAAACATGATCAAGTGCCCTTTGCTTTACAACCAAGACTACCTGAGAGGTTCCTTTTGATGGACTTCCAAAAGGATGGCACGTTCTTTGGTTACTTTCTATTCTTTGTATTTTGTCACAAAATGACCTATACAATAGGATCAGAGTACATATCTCTCTCTGGAATTGGCAAAGCAGGTCCACAGTGAATCCAGGGTTTAAGGATTAGGAGAACGACTTTGAGTCTTTTTGTTTCTAGGGTAGGAGGAGTTCAGTTTTAACAACATGGGGTTAAATTCAAGGACACTTCAAAAATTATGCCAGAAATAAAGAAAAGTCAATTTCATGCAGAAACACTGGGTGTGAACCAGAATCTGGCATAGGCTTATGTACCCAGGGACCCTCTGGTTCTTTCAGAACTAGAGACATCTGACAAGCCTATGAACAGTGCAGCATTGAGGGCCTCATCATTCAGCCTTTGTCTTTTCTGGACTGGCTCTGAGTTTCTTGGCATGTCTCCGAAGGACTGCAACGAGATAGACCACGGCCCCCGAGACGACGAGGACCGTCCCGAGCAGAACTGCCCACCAGTGGGCCATGTCACCCACGGGAACAATCAAGGACACTTTAGCCAAATTCTGTAACAAAGCAGAGAAATTTCTCAACATGAACTCTTTCCCTTCAAGGGCTTCAATTGACTGACAGAAAGCAGGGTCGGCTCTAACCGTCTTGTACTTGAGGGCGAGCCAGTTGCACTGGGTGGAATTGTTGGAATCGCATGGGGCCCGAATGGTCTTCTTGCGACAACCGGCATCCAGGGTCATGCCCTCACATCTCAAGAAAAGCCGGGGTCCTTTCAGCTCCACCTTTGCCTGCAACTATAGATGTCTATATGTGGGAAGCAAGTTCTAGTAGATATGAAATCAGTTGATATCAATTGTCAATCATGCCACGAAGTTTAACCAATGCTCTGAGGCTCTGAGGCAAGTTGCACCTGGGCAAGTATATATCATCATTCAATAACAGGGCAGTAGCATGTGTTTCAGTGTTGCATAATACAAAAGCATGTACCACATAATTCATTTTCCTTTGTTCATGCTTGCATTCTAATTAGGTCAATCAGAGATCAAGCACACAATGTTAATTTATGGAAGAAAAACTGAGCTTAACTTTTTCTTTTTTACTTAATTGTCACTGAATTACATTCATCCCTGTATATTTACTCAATTTCTCCATGACTCCCCCGAGGATCAAAGTACATTATGCAATTAGTTATGTGGTTTTTTGCTTCAACATACCACATTGGGTCCTTCGTGGCTATCTTGTGCCTTGTGGTACCTCAAGTGAACTGGGAATGTCACAGTGGATGAAAGAAGATTCTCTGAGATGTTCAAAGATGTCAGGATGAAGAGCCGGTGGGGTTGAGCCTCAAACTCGGGCTTCTCTATATCGACCTGCTCTGGAATGAAGAACTGGGAATTCGGGAGGATATCTTGCAGTTCCTGAAGCTGGTAGGGATCTGCATACATCCCTGTAGGGATCATATAGACAAGCAGAGCCTGGCAAGGTCCTGATGGAGACCACATTGTACCCATGACCTCCACTGTTGTTTCCAAATCCCTGAAGGAAGGGAAAGGAATGTGACTGTAGCAAACATTTTACTCATACACAGATGAGTTTAACTAGTTAAATTTGGTCGAACAAAACATTTTTGTTTATTCCAACATGAGTTTCATGCTGACTTTATGCATTTCTGCATTAATTTTCGTGAAATTTTACCATAAAGGGGAAGACCTCATGACCTCAAAGACCTTATGAACCACTGGCAGAATGGTGCAGGAGATATGTTTCAAGAAATTACTAAATGAATCTATTGTAGTGATATAAGTTTCAGCTACAAGAGTTGAAATATTGGTGTGGAACACAAATGCACAGATATAAATGGTTAAGCTCTATGTTGGCAATCAGGTGCAGCCACGTCACACACCCCACCCAGACCCCAGCGCCTGCTTGCATTTGTTGCTGAGCTATGGCCTTTGTGTGCTTCCAAGACATGCACATTGTATTGTACTTACTCTCTTCCTCATTCGTTAGTTAAATAGTTAGGTGGAGGCCTTGACGAATTTCCAAGCACTTTAAATTTCGAGATGGAGCTCCAGTTCAACAGAACAACTCTGGAATAAGTAAAAATCAATGCAACTAACGCATGGAAACCGTTCTGGGAGAGTCTCCTCCAAAGGAACGAATGAAGACCATCGAGGATTGGACAGGATTTCGCCGACGAATCCTCTACGGATGCCACCCAAGAAGACAAAAACAAGGAGAACGATGCGAGAAGCAACAGCCGGCGTGCCGCGCAGACAAAACCACCACTACAAGGACCCATCTCCAGAGCGGATCCGCAAAACTTCACGGCGACGAGCGAGGAGCACACGTGCGCGATCGAAGAGCTACATGCACCTCCAAGGATGCCAGATCGCTTCTTTCCCACTCTGATGAAATATATATATTGCGAAGGCCACATGCACTCTTAAGGCCCAACAAATATTTTATAAGATTAAATTCCTCAATAGATATTTATTTATGACCATGAAACTTTTGTTACACTCGAAATAAATTCATTAAGTGAAAACGTGACGGCGCATGCACTCCTGCGCGTTGAGCAGTCGCCTCGCGCCTGCCGGGCCTGTAGAAAAACCTGTCCGCGACTGCCTGGCAAGGTCATCCTCACTCGTTCCTTCCCTTTCCCACCAAATATTATGACAGACTCTCAAATCCGTAACCGGTCATCTTCCAGGACGTGAATGAATCCGAGGCATTAGGGATCTGAAGTTCTTCCGTTGCCACTCAGACGCTTGTGAATCTCGTTAGCTAGGCTAATTCAGGTGTTGTGTGATATTGCTGGGCTATTTCACTTTGAAAATTAACCATGTCGGCCACGGGAGAGAAGAAAATTCTAGCCAGATGGTATTTTGGGGGTATGGCATCTGCAGGAGCAGCTTGCTGCACTCACCCTTTGGATCTTCTCAAAGTGAGTTATTTTGGTAATATGTACCCTTTAGGAGAGTACATATCACCTGTATTATGCAAAAAGGACATAAATGCCTCTGAAGTTACTTCTCAGTTGATGATAAAAGCTTATGAAGATATGTGTAACAGTCATTTTAAGTATCATACAGCACTTTGCTAGGTCTAACATGATCCTTTGGGGAAAAAAGCTGATGGATTTTTTTATTATTTTTTTTTTACATGATCTTAATAGATTTTTGTCATTACCGACAAGTAGCCGTAGAGGCATTTGTGAACTTGCACAACAAAAGCAATATATTCTAAGTCTTCTCACCTTAGGCAACATTTGAATCAATTTTACTAATCAGGTGAAATCCCTCTGCATTCTCTGCTCATTTCCAGGTTCACCTCCAGACACAGCAAGAGGGAAGGTTGAGTTTGGTTGGGATGACGGTTAAGATCGTGAGACATCAAGGAATATTGGCACTCTATAATGGACTCAGCGCCTCTCTTCTCCGACAACTTTCGTACTCCACCGTGAGATTCGGAATTTATGAAGTGAGCCGGGCCTTGAATCTCGATCCTCATTTATTCTGTGGTCCAAGTTGATTAAACCAACCTTTTTTTGTCATCAGGTGACGAAGCAGTCCATCTCTCAACCAGGTGAGGCTATACCATTTTACATTCGTGTGGGGATGGCAGCAGTAGCAGGAGCGTGTGGAGGCTTCCTGGGAACGCCTGCCGATATGGTAAACGTGCGTATGCAGAACGACATCAAGCTCCCCCTAAACAAGAGGAGGAAGTGAGAAAAGCTAGATTCAATATTCTATTGAGTCATTTCATGTTGCTGGTACTGTAATGAGGTTGCTTTCATTTTTAACTAATTCCTCTTTTGTATTCAATGGAAGTGAATGTGCTTAGGTTTTCTGTTGCTATCAGTATACCAAACCTATATTTCATGGACATGAACTTTTTTTTAATGAAAGCTTGAGCCATTCAGACCTTATCACTAGCAAGACAGGTTTAGCAAAATTTCCTGGCTCATGCATTGCATCCAATTTTTGTTGAGAATCCAATAGGTGCAAGCATGAAATCTAACAAGTAGGGGTTTGCTGCTGCAAAAATGTTTTTTAAAGAAAATTTAGAAAATCTCTCAAATTGTTTTCCTTGTGGATGATACTTTTTTTTTTCACGAAGATACCAATTGTCAGGGGTCTTACTTGCCTCCGTTTTGTAGATTTAAGGTTGGACAAAAGTAGAACTGCTATTTTATTATGTGTTATAAGTTTTTTTTGCTACTGGAAGCTGATTCCAGTATCTGATATTTTGAATCAGATATTCATATATCACAGAACCTCACCACCAGAGGCTTCCATGTAAGCTCATCAGTGACAGTACAGCCATCATGCAAACAATAAGGAACAAAAATTAGGTTTTTATGTTGAATCTGACCATTCTTGTTTGGCTTACTTCCTGTGTGTGAGACTTGTATAAATTCAGAACATCATTGTAGCTACAAGCATGCCGTGGATGGGCTTTTCCGTGTGTATAAAGAAGAAGGTGTTCAGCGACTCTTCTCAGGTGCAACAGCAGCCACTGCCAGGGCGGTTCTTATGACTGTTGGCCAAATTTCTTTCTACGATCAGATCAAGCAGATTCTTCTTGGAACTGAATATTTTCGAGACAACATCATCACACATTTCACCAGTAGTCTTGCAGCTGTAAGTTATTTTTCCATAGATTAAGCATTTAGATATGGGAGACTTGCTGCTGCTGCCAACTGATGAATTTTGGGGTTTCAGGGTGCCATTGCCACTACAATGACACAGCCATTAGATGTGATCAAGACCAGGGCTATGAATGCCAAGCCTGGAGAATTTCAGGTGAGAACTATGCATTATTTTCAAGCTGTGTGGAAGTGCATGACTAAGCCGAGGCATGAATGTTTTAAATCATTGATTATGAAAATTTCTTCTTTGGGGGCTGCAGAACATGTGGGGGCTCATTGTCTACACTGCCAAGCTGGGACCCTTAGGGTTCTTCAAGGTTTGTGCACCTCATTGACATGTACAGGATGTCCACAGAGTTTTTAATTTAAAAAATAAAATTCTGAAAAGTTTGAATAGCATGAAAAAGTTTTTCCAATACATATAGTAATTATGGCCACTTAACTTCCTCTGCTTCCAATAGGTGCAGTTCACATATTTATTTGTTAGCTGCGATAAGTTGTTTTTTTTTTGCAGATACAAAAACAAGGTGGGTACATCAATAGTAAAATGCAGTTTGCTTCTTTTTTTTTGTAAGGAAAAGACTTTCATTCATCTTGGAATTGGCATGATTATATTTCTTCATGCTCTTCAAACTTGTGAGGGAATGCATTTTGAAATCATTAGGAAGCACTGTGGACAACCTTTACTTTGCCAGTTGTCTTAGTTGTATCATACCACTCAAGTCATAAAAGTCATTCTCTTTCTATTCATCCCACAGGGCTACATCCCTGCATTTGTGAGATTGGCGCCTCAGACAATCCTAACTTTCATCTTCTTTGAGCAGCTTCGACTACACTTTGGGAAAGAAGTCCAGTAGTTCCTTTATAGTCTTTCCATCTGATTTTTGTAATTTTTTCTTGTTGGACATTTGTACCCTGTATCAGTTAGATCTGGATGTGAAACTTTGGATCTGAGATATTCTTAGTGATTCTTCTTTGTTCATACTGTTTGCACTTGTTTCAAAGTGTATCAAGAGATTCAATTGAAACTGGAAAGATGACTTAGAGCACTCAACTTCTTTATTTCACTGTGAAGCGTGATGGAAGTTCAAGAATCAAAAGCAACACCTCACACGAATGGTATTCCTCTTGTGGGTTAGAGCTGGAATGAGTTTCTGGATCTCATTGGGAAGTGCAATAGAACTGTTGGGTGTGATTTTTCTGAATTATGTCAGTATTGGGTTTTATGTAACCCCTCTTTTTTTTTATCTTTATTTTGTTGAGTACCTTCAATGTATATGTGCAACTCCCTGCAAGAGTCCAAGATTTAGATTTCCTGAACTACTCCCCTTATTAACTAAATGAAAGGCTCATATGAAATACAAGGAACTGTTTTTTCCTCAAACACAGTCATTGGTCACAAAGCAGATCATCAAAACAATGAACTTTGTTGGGCAAGGGCACACGACTAGAAAACATGAAACATCGATACAATTAGGTGAGATTGAAGTGACTGAATCATCTGCTTAATCCTCACCTTGCTAACATTCTTCAATTCCAGTTGTTTGAATCACTTATGGAATATTGCATAAGTGAATGGACTAGATTGGCAAGGAATGAATCATGTGTTCTTGGCAAGTGATATGCAGCATTTTCCACAGATCAACAAAGCATAGGAATCATTTCCAATTAGGGGATTACACAATAAATTCAAGTCCACAAATACTTATATCGTGTGTTGGCCACTGAATTAGCTGTCACATTCTTTATTGGCATTTCCATCAACCATAAGGGCATCACAGATTTATATTGTATATGTTGCTAGGAGTAAAGAAATTTACAAGACCAGTTACCAGAATGAAGAAGTGTTGAAGAGAAATTAAGAGTTGATGTCCTTCACTGCTCAAACTGGAGCATTGGAGCCTTGTTATGGAAGGAGATAGACATCTCACAGGGGCTTTGCTTCCAAGGCTCTCCATTCACTTGCATTGGTATTTTCTCCTTTAGTATTATCTGTCAGTGATACAGAATAATGTGGGGCTAAGTGTCAGATTATCCATGTCCTGCTACACGCATATGTTTCAATATGAAATTCAAACGAGGCAACATCGTGACATCAAACTTTCAAACAACTTCATTATATAAATCCTCATCTATCATGTAACTTCAACTGCACCAGGCACCATCTGAGGTATAACAGCTCAAGTTTCATTATTAACATGACAAAGAAACATTAAGGAAGAACTACTGCATGTAAATTTGATCTACAGAATGAACCTTGCTGATAAAGGTCCAGGCATATTTGCATTGCAATCCTTAAAATCTTTCTGTCCCTTACTGAAAAAAAAACTTGAAACAAGAAGGAAGTTACAGTGTTCTATGAGATAATGACCATAGAAGAAAGAAACAATACATGAGAGGGTACCAAAGATTTCTCACCCTTAGACCTGGATTAACTTTTATAAGGAAACTTTTTTTCCTTCTTTGACCCTGAATTCTATAGGGGAATTTCATGAACAAGCAGCATTCTTGGACTTTCTTATGAAAACGCAACACCTTTTTTCCTTTGTGCAATTTATGCATCAATAATGCAAATGAAAAAATAGCTCATTAAGGTTGAGAAAGGGCTCTCCCTTACTCAACCTTAATGAGCTATTTTAATAATATTTAATTAATAAGTTGACTTAGGGTGATTGCAACTTCTTCACATCATGTGACCACTTCATGGTCCTCTTTTTATATGGGGAAGAATATACATATTTCACTTTCAATTCTTGCTGACGAACAGCAATTCACTTTTTTTTATTTATACAAAGTATCCACAAGCTGAGATAAAATTTGAAAGAACAAAAAAGTAAAGTAAGATATTGAAATCCAACAGCATAGTAGCTTTGTGTATTTTGATCCTGGGGTCATAATTCTGATCACATAATACATTTGGCTTTTTAAACTCTTAGTTTAGCCAAATCATCAACCACCTAATGTTCCATGCTCTCATTTGGCCCTTCTGGACATTTTACAGGTGTGACACACCATTCCATTAATTGTTCTTTTGGACTGTCAGTCAAAAGGAGGAATGAGAAATATAAGTGATTTCAAGCCCAAACACAAACTGTAGTCTTTAAGGTAGCTTTGAAACATAATAGGTTGTTATTGTTCTCAATTTGTGGCCTACTTTCTTGGAACTGGATGGAATATGACTTCTTTAGGATGTTGTTCACAGAGAGAATTCAAATATAATGGAAAATCTATTTTTGAGACATTCCATGTTTTGTTGTGGCAAAAGGAGTAAGTGTAGCCATAGGCATACTAATAATGGGAAACTCTCACCCGAACTTCACTTGCTTGACCGAGTCTGAAGGGTTCACTCAACCCAACCTGCATCTGAGCTATATGGAATGAAGAAAATACGCACAGCACCTCCAACTTCCCATCACTGACACTGGTCAGTGGGAAATTCATGTGGCCTGAAAGAATGATTCAGATGGAAGCACACAAGAGGTTAGATGCATGAAAACCAAAATACCAAAAAAACAAACTGCTGCGCTGTCTGACCAATATAACCACTCCTTTATTACACCTAACTGGATCACCAATTCTAAGACTAAGATATATAGCAGACACTATCCACATGGGGAATGTGAGGTCTAAATGATGATCCTATCTCACTACCTGTGAAGCCAATCCCTTTGGAAGGTTTCACGAGAAACCCCACACCTCCCAAAGAAATGGAGTACACAGGGTCCATCCATGCTATTAGTCCTTAGCTCATCCTAAATCTTGCAGCCAATCCAGTGCGATCCAGAAATGCTTTATATGCTAAGGGAAAGGTTTTAAACAATGGAATTGGAAAAGGAAAAAAGATGATTGAATCACTAGCAAGCAACATTCAACATAAAATCATGCCATAAAAAAATAAATTCTGCGACATATCTCAAAATCATTGTAAGCATCTGCCATGGATAGGAGAAGGTCTACCATGTGATTTTCTATGTCTTTTTCCACTCATTCCCTCCTGAGATCCCCCATCAGTAGAAATGGGGGAGGGGGGGGGTCTGTCTCAAAAGCAGAAAGAAATCTTAATTAATTTTTGACTTGTTCCAGATTTTATTCCTCTCCCGCTGAAGCTACAGCAATGAATGGCAGTGGTCAGCTTTGTCATCAAAGAGTGTGAACCTTTTCTCATAAGTTGCAATTAGGAATTTATTAGGAAATAAGTTTTGTTTTGCATTTGTGTCCATAGAATCCTATTACGAAATCTGGGGTAGTCTCATTCCCATAGATTCCAAATATATATCCAGGCAAACTCAATGCTTCTGTGCTTAATTCAGCTGTAGATGGCCTTCCAAATGCTGACAATATCAACAATAGCCAGTAGAACATAAAGGACATTAATTGTGCAATCTAGGTATTTTTGCATATAACTCCCCTAAGCCCAAATTTTTTTTCGCTGAAAACAAGCTTCATCTTCATTCTTGATTTCAAGGAGATACAGAAAGAGGAGAACCTGCATGGTAGATTATGTGAGTAACTGTTTCATGAGTATTTAATCCTATACAGGGTGTTCGTATTTAAATGCAACACCGGGAATATTTTGCTGCCTGGAGCTGGAGTTCACTGAATGCAAGGCCCACTGGGTTGCATTTCTGTAAGGAAACACACCAGGGATAGGTTTAATCCTTCTCTATATGCAATCTGTTGAGCTATAAAGCATGCCCTGCACTCCACAAACAGGCAGGAAAAATTTCTCTATGTTGTATTTAAATATGAACACCATGTATACCTATTGTGCATGAAATAAAAGTAAATGTGAAATGAAACAATGGAATTCCCTTAATTCAATATCCACAAGAAACTGTCCAGGCTAGTATTTCACCTCCAAACAGTCCATGACTTTGCTTGTCTAGTCTTTTGGTTTCAAAGGATTCTTCAATCAAGACCACCAGATCTCAATGACAAAAGAAAATGTTTCCTTGAAAGTAACCTTTTTTAAGAATTTAGTAGAGGAACTCCTTTTTAATCCCAAAACTAATGGCCAGTTTCTGATTGATATTCAAAGAGTAAAGTGAAGAAAGTCACACAAACAACAGTATGTCAATGGCTTCATGTGGCCATGGACATATGGTGTATGACCAGGTCTATGTCCAGGACCCCAATTTCATATAAATGAGGAAAACAAGCCAGATAATGTGCAATTCAATAATCTATACTGGCAACATTTCCTAATCTGGTAACAGTCAATTTTGAGAACTTTATAGCTGATATACATATTTTTCTTATTATTTCATAACTTAATTTCCTAGATAGTACCTTAAAACAGTACCAATAAAAATGTCTATAATCTGAATAAGAGAACTGAGATAGTCACACGCCAGACTCTGTATGAAGATTCTATTAGGATATTTCTGACAATAATTGTTTCATGAGATTTTTTCCTTTCTTGTCCAACAAACCTGTGCCAAGCTGCCATGGTTTCACTCCAGCACCCCAATAAGGGATGTTGAGAAGAACAATTGATTCCACTTCAGGAAGGGTGACTTCTTCATTGTCCATGAACAACTGCACCTTCTTCTCCAAATTCTTGCAGCATCTCTCCAGTACGTCTTTGGTTCCATAGGTTAGGTATAAGAACTGGACAGAAAAGTCAAACCACCATTTCATGCATACTGTGAGACTGCTACCTCGTTGTAAAACACCCATACTTGGTTATTACATGCATCTGTAGAAAAACAGGAAAAGTGAATTTTCTCAAGCAGCAAAGGGGCTGTCACCAGAGGAATGGGGTTAAATGTTTATTTGATGACAAGATTAAATTTCACAAATCTTTAGCAACCAACTTTCATAGCAAAATGTTTTGTTTTTTTAATTAGGAAAATACAATTTTATACAGGGGGAAGTAGACAAATTATCATGGTCATGGTCTGAATGCTGTGCAGGGAACAAGGGGCCGTTATGATCCATATAAACCCTTTATTCATATCTTTATGATTCCAAAATTGAATCCAATTCATCATAGGACGTTCTAGAATAAAAACAACTAAATGATACGTATGTCTGAATCAAGCCAATTAAAGGTGAATGAAAATTTCAGCTTATAATGAGTGTTATCAGGACACATAGCAGAGATTTAGCTTCTAACTGAATTGCTAACCTGTGCTGAATTTAACCCTGCTTCATATACTGGACCTTCAGGCTCTCATGACAATTTCACTCTTCTACTACCTCCTCAGAAACACTATACATCCTGAAATGTTGACCATGTAAGTTAAAAATTTGGTACTGTAAGAGATTATCCTTTCCTTTCTTGTCTGTATATTTTAGCTATTCAATTGTTGAAGATTTGCATAATGTACATAGGCAGAGTATGCTTATGTACATTACAAATTTCTACATAAAATGTCAGTCTTTAAAAAAAAAATCACTAAAACGGAATACTTTAGAGCACCCATCAAATAGTTCCACTAATGAATTAATTCCAGATTAAGTACTTATTGCATAACTTACTTTTTAAATTTCAGATTGCAGCCCCTACTGTCCTTTAACATACCTGTAGGATCCACAGACACCTCAGTCAATTAATTGGATAGCAGTAATCTCAGCAGTGGAAAATACATAACTTGCAAAACATGCAGAAACATAACATGATGGTGACTACTCATAGTGCTGATGCAAAATCCTTCAAATTCATTTTTTTTTAAAGGACTGATGCTATATGGGAGGATTTGACAACAGCAGCAGACAATGAAGGCTTGGGGCAACCATCAACATGACCAGAGTTCACACTTGAGGACAGAGGATGATAAGAAATTTGCCTGTGAGAGGGTTAGAGGATAGTGCATCAAAACCAGAAGCAGTTATCAGCATGCCATGTGTTTCCTTTACAGTTTTGTCTCTTTGGTATTTTCAAATTGCAGAAATCTGGTATGTCTTTCTCATTGTGGCATAAATCCAAAGAACTGCATCAGATGTCTGGATCATTCAAATATAAATAAGGACAGTAGGGCTTCAGACTAAAAGAAAAAAGAAAATGATAGAATATAACTTACTTTGGAACAAATAATTTAAATAATTTTTTTACTGGCTATTGTATTTGCCTTACAACCAAAGCAGAGGGAACGAGGCTCCAATAAATGATTAGGTTATTGCAAGAACATTAATGTAAAATCAATGAGCATTTTATGGATATCACTGGACCTTCATTGTCTTCCTTGATATAAAACACCCAAATAATGGCAAAACCCACCTTGTTGAAAAGTCGGCTACTAGAGAAGTAGAAGGGAGATTCTCTGGTTGTGTGAAAGTTGAGGGTGACAAGGGCATCTACACCAATACTCATGTAATTGTTCATGTAAAAGGCTTTGGATCTTGGTCTGAAGCGATTGAGACTCATTGGAGTGCGAGGTATGGAAGACACGGTGACCTTCCATCGGTCCAATTCAATTTCCTTTGCTCGTGTCAGCTGCCGAATGATTAGGAAGGGATCAACAGGACCTGCATGTCCTGGTCCCCACCCTAGGAAACGGGATAGGTCATTCCCTGTACCCATTGGCAGGATTGCAATTGGGGGACGATGCTACAAAGATACAAGAAAAACAATTGAAACCCACATATGAACTAAAAAGTGAGTGAACTCATGAAATGCTGGTGCAACATACCTTAAGCTGTAATGAATCTATGTCATTGAGGACCCATCCTATTGTCCCATCACCTCCAGCTATGAGAATTCTGCAGGTAACATCCTCTAATAAATTACACCATTTCAGGCCTTCCTTTGGATCAGACTCAGCCAGGTCGATCACCTGGGTGGCGTTTAGAACCCGACGGAAGGCAGCTAATACATAAGCACCATCATTGTTCCCAGACTTCCTGTTTGCTATCACTATGAGAGGGCTCCACTTGGGAATGGGAGGGACTCGAACTTCCTCAATAATGTATTGAGTGCGCACACGATATGTTCGCTTCAGCTCTATGCATGTTGGAGGCACAACAAAAGTTCTGTGCCTGCTCAGATCACATACATCACCAAGACTGGGCTTGCATTTTGCATGCACTGCTCTTTGACACCAGCAACAAAAAAAGTCAGTGAGGCCTGGCTCATTCCCACACTCATCATCACACACACTACATATTGAGTTGAAGGGAAGATTTCCTGATGGGAGGGGAAAAAAAAAGACACAAGATTCAATCAAGGATAACCTGATGACACTCGTACCTTCGTAATTGCTACTTCTGTAATAATAAAAACCTAAAAGTTGTAAAGGCTAGCAACAAAGTCATGATGTAACAAATGTTTTCGCATTCAATAACATGCCTGCAACTCCTTTTTTTCTTCTCTACATTCATGAATTGCCAATACTGAAAATTTGGAAAATGTGTAAGACCGCATTTTCAGCTTGTATCTTTTAGAGAACTGGATGGATTCTACCAAGAGTGAAACTTTTAAGTGATGGGTTCTAACTAGGGCTGTACAGATACACAGAACACCAATGGAATTGGCCATAGATGTGCATCGACACCAACAGCAGACGTCAATGCAGCTGCTTCTCATGCAAGAAAAAAGAGAGCGAGGGAAAGTGCAAAACACCTGCATGTGTGAACCAGACCCAGCACCAGCCCCCTCCCGTTTCTTTCAACAACAAAAAAAGGAGCAGTTGAGTCTGACCTCCTCCATGTAAAACAACATTGTAGCCTTGAACATCCTGACAAGTAGGCTTACGATACAATTACGGCAGCTCTGAGACAGAAAATAGGGTCATACCTTTCACCATATGATGCTTTAATGTCTGCTCTTTGGAAGAAATAGCCTTGCATGGAAGATTTTTGTTTGCCTTCCTTAAGCACCCAGCATCTGCAGCCACTCCACAGGATTCGCAGAAATAACCACCAGTCAACATCAAAGACTCACAGATAGAGCAGTATAAGGGCTGCAAAAAGGAAAAGCATCATCACACATAGGCTGGCATGGCATATGGCAAACCAATTCAGCTAAAATTGAATTTCCAAGGTCATTTAAATTTAGTTGCTTGGAATGGATCCCTATGGCAGGTTAGGACTAAGGATGGGTTTGTACTAGTACAAGAAATTTTGAGGTTTAGGTTGAAAGGTTGAAGAGCCCCACTCATCCTGTCAATCCCTGGAAAAAAGTGGCTCATTTCCATTATCTTGTGCTCATTTGCTTAAATCCCAATGCCAGGGTATGTGCAGCAGAAAGTATGCAAAACTAAGAAGCAGAATCTATGAGTTTTTTTATACTTAATTTCAAGAGTCAGTTTTTTTTATTTCGAAACCAGAACATTTAAAAATAGTGCCTTTCCATTCTTGATTAAATCTTCAACACAAATCCTACATAAATTTTTTGACAAAGCATAATTTCTTCTTCATGATGATAAGCCTTCTCATTAGATTAAACCTTCACAGGGCAAAATGAGTTTATAGAGGAAACGAAAGGGCTACACATTTGAGCTCTCATCAGCCAAACAAAATGTCTGGCATTTGGCCCTGAGAACATCTGCACCTGAGCTGTTTTTGACAATAATGAATTTAGCCTTTTTTATTTTTAGTGAAGATTAACTTGATGTGATACTTGTAGTAGAAGACTTTTCACTGACATACATTAGTTACAATTTTAGTCCAGGTTTATGAGGACAGCAAGGAAATAAAGTATCAGTATTAGGGTAGGATGTAAAAGATAGGTCTCCATCTGAAAATGAGGAGATACATGAGCTCTTTTATGCTTATTTGACATTCTTGCAGTCTAGCTCAACCATTACCTAAGGCTTATAACAAAATCTTGTAGTGAGCTTCTCAGCCATATGGTAGAGCAGTGAAAATTTGCTCCACCCATATTAAGCACATTCCTGTGAACCACAAATTTACTTTGTCTCTGACCATTTACTTCCTGTCTGGAGTGATTTAGTAAGTTCTCTCATTTTCAATCCAATGCATGCAAACTTATTTTTAAAAAGAAAATACCCTGCCATATATAGGCCCTATACTAACTTGAGAGGCCAATGGAAGTCACAACTCACAGACGTAAGAAGGGATGATTCCGACCACTTATGGCCCTTTCGGATGTCCCTTGCATGAATCACAACTTCTTGCGAGAAGCACAATGAAATTATTTTGATGAGAAGAAGCCCAATTATCACAGACAACGCAATTTCAAATCCGGTGTTCCATGCCAACATGTTGGGCCTAAACAGCTACGTAACGTTGGATTTCGACAGACTATTATTGACTTTTTGGAACACGAAATCTCCACCAAACCATTGCCACTGTCTCCTCGTCGTCTACTCGGCCTTTGCAGCTGCATTGCATTGCATTTGCATAGGTATGACGCATTTCTCAGAAGCTGTCATAATAAGTGTCGTTGCTCAAAACCACGTGGGCACCATTGACTCATGAGTGTTGCTGGAGTTCACTAACCTCATCGATGAATACCGTGGAGTTTCGTTCCGTCTATGTCTCCTATTGTTTTCAGTTTCTTTGTCTGCATTCTTGCATCTATCGTTTGGTCATCTAATCTCAGTAGGGAAGGATGTCTAATTTATGCAAGGGCCAAATGAGGGAAAGTGTGCGCTTCTGCATCCGCGATGAGGAAGTTGGCATCACTGACTGCCTAAGGCTGTCTGCTTTCTTTCCCAAGGTCCCAGCGCAAAAACTGTCTCACGTTGTTCGTAGTCCCTCGTCTCACCCTTGGTTCTCTCGTATTCCGCATTGGACTGCTTCCAGTTTTCAAAACGGTAGCCACAGGCCTTTGTACAATTGTTTTTTCTCTTCCAGATTTTAATATGAATTCGAGGCACGTATTGTTTCAAGAAGAGCTTCAGCCTCAGTGAGAAAAAAGAAAAAAAAAGAAACGGAAGACGTCGTCGCGTTTCGCCTTCCTTGAGTTTTACTTTTCGAGTTTCAGCTTCGCCATGTGGTTTGTGTTCGTCATTTGCATCCTCTTTTGTGAGAGAGTTCATGGTATGTGTCAAAATCTCTCCAGCAAGTATTTAAAAACTTCCTATTCTAGTTCACAAGTATCAAGTGTGATTTCCTTGTTTATTCTGCAGGAGGTGACTACATAGCCCCAAAGAACAAAGAGACATGGAGCTATGTGGAAGTGCGTCCTGGAGCTCACATGTTCTGGTGGCTTTACTATACCAATGCCAATGCCTCTTATACACAACGACCTCTTATCATATGGCTTCAAGGTGGACCTGGTGCTTCCTCCACTGGCTATGGAAACTTTATGGAGATTGGGCCCATCGATGTGGGGTCCAATCCGAGAAAAGTCAATTGGGTAGGTCTGATTTCATGACAGGTGGACTTGCATCGTTTCCCTTTCATTACAATGGCTTTTCTTACACAAGGTGAATGAGGCAAATGTGCTGTTTGTGGACAATCCTGTTGGTACAGGGTTCAGTTATGTCCAGAACAAATCTCTCTATGCCAGAAACAACTCCATGATTGCCGATGATCTTGTGACACTCTTCTCGTCGTTTCTTAAAAAAGTCCCTGAGTTTCAGAAAGTTTCTACCTACATATTTGGGGAATCATATGGAGGGAAGATGGCAGTTGGTTTTGCAAAAGCTTTGAACAAGGTCAGGACAAAGATTTTTTTTTTTTCTTTGAGCCTTGAACTGGTGGCGTGTGATGACCATCCTTTACTGTGATTTTCAGGCAGCAGTAGCTGGGAAGGTGAAATGCAACCTCCAAGGTGTTGCTCTTGGTGATTCTTGGATCTCTCCAGTGGAATCTATGCTGTCATGGCCACCATTCCTTTATGCGACGGTAATTATTGCTACAAAACTGGTCATAAAAATTGTGGTCATTGATGCATAAATCAAAATGATTTATGCCTTCAATCGAACCTCTCAAATTATTGTTGAAGAAACTGATTAAAATATAAAGCAAGGGTATCTATCTTTGGCCCTTACATTTAGAGTGCTCGTTCAAGTTGGGTACATAATAAAATCAATGATTTTGTGGATGGACTATCTGAATTACCTTTCATTTTGTGTAAAATAATTTTCTTTCCTAATTTAAATATTATCTGGGCCTGAATCACAATGTAATGCAATTGAAATTTGGCTTGGTTTTTCCATCGTTATATTTTACAAATGATCAACAACTATTCCACATCTAGTCCTTCCTTGATGAAGAGGGATACCAGAAGGTGCAAAAGTTGGCAGATGCAACTGCAGATGAAGTGAAAAAGGGGAATGGGAAGGCAGCAACTGAACTTTGGATGAAAACTGAGTCACTGGTGGAAAACCTCACACATGGTGTTGATTGGTACAACATTCTTCATTTGGATGCTGATGTTCAAAGTCTGAATGCAGTCACCGTGGAGAAAAAGCCTCGTATGCTGGCCTTTAAGTTACATTGGTTGGCTTTGATGGACGGTCCTGTGATGTTTATTATATTTTTCAGGTAGGGGAATTCTCAGCTATGATCGACATGTAGGCCTTCTCCAGGGGGGGAACCTGAAGGATCTGATGAATGGCGTCATTCGGCGTAAGTTACGTATCATCCCTGAGAATGTTACTTGGGGAGGACAGAGTGATGAGGTGTTTGCTGCTCTTGAAGCTGATTTCATGGAACCAGTTACCGATGATGGTAAGGAGTCATTCTCAATGTCATTCTTACCGAGTGGCTTCAGTTGGTTCTCAAGACAATGCTTTCTTGCCTTTTCAGTTGAATTTCTGTTGAACAGGACTAACTTGTCTGTCATCGTGTACAATGGTCAATTGGATCTAATTGTTGCGACTCAGGGTGAGATACCGCACACCAGTTCAGAAAAAAAAATTTTTTCATTGAATGTTTGCTTGATTGATTTGTATGATGAATTTAGGAACAGAGAACTGGGTGATGAAACTGCTGTGGCCTGGGGTGAAGGGATGGAGAAGCACAGAGCGAGTGGCTATCCCTTTGCCTCATATCAAGACTGCAGCTTTTTACAAGCAGTACAAAAACCTTTGTTTTTACTGGATCCTGCAGGCAGGCCATATGGTGAGCCTAACACAAATACCAAATAATTATTTTTCAACCTGCAATGCCACTTCATAAAAACCTACTCTGTCAAATTTAGGTGCCTGCAGATGCACCTGAAGCAATGCTGGAGGCCATGAAGCATGCTACTAACATTCATGGATGAAACCAAGCACTTTGTCTGTGATTCAGAAACTCAATTGTGATGATGATGATGAACCAATGTTGTTTCATGTGTTCCATTTTGCACTGGTCATTTTTTCATTATTGTTGCATTCCTTTATCAATTCTTCAACTCTGTTTTGAATAAAGTATGCTTAGTGAATTCATACCTCTGCCGTGATAGTCTGTGATAGTGGTAATCAAGCAATTTTTATTTCAAGCCATTAAATTGAAGTATTTGTATGCCATAGCAGAGCTGTACTAAGGATATTTGGCACCCTGTGCAAGATATCAATCCAGGGCCCCCCTCTCCCCATACCTCTCTAGCTTCCCCAGCAGAAACAATACATTACGTATTAATTTGTTTAATTTAGTCAAGTTTAGGATAATTGCAACTTTTTAAAGAGAATTTTTCATATTTTGTAATAATTCTGCAGTCAATCTGCACCCTGTGCAGGGGCACTGTGCCAGAGATTGCAATAAAAGACGGATGTAGGTCAATGACCAATTTTATTCAATCATGGTACAAGGCCATTCTTTTTTGAAATTCTCTTCTTTTATTGGACTCCTTTTTTTGTATTTTTTCCCTTTTATTGGGGCTCTTGCGAGACCATTTAATTCTCCAAGGCCTTGGACATTGAAAGAAGAAGGTGCTTTGAATCCAAAAGTCTTGATGCCTGTGTAGCAACTTCCTTCCAACTCTGTTCAAGACCCACTTTTTACCTCCTCTCACCATTGAGATGAGAGGAAGGTGAGTGACTCTAGCCAATCCCAGATCATCCCATCTCGCCACAAACCTGCCTCATTTGTCTACACACAAGAAGAAATAAAATGAATATGATAAATCATGAAGCTACAGTACATATGGTTATATGATATAAGAAGGTAGGGCTGGTTGCTAATTTTCTCACATATGCAAGTCTATAATCTGGAGTAATTTTTCTGCATTTGTGATAAAATGAACATAATTTGTGCAAACAATGATGTTCCATGATTTCAATTATCCAAAGTGCTCATAGTTCCATTTTTTGGAGAATCAAGACTACTGTACTGTAACTAGATGGTCTTAGGATTCAGACCAACAGTTCCCAACCTTCTCAATGGAGTGACCTACATTTTATTTATTCAAGATTTCACTACCCATTTGGAACTTAGGAGGCCAATGAAAAAAA